CTTGAGTACAGTAACAAAGTATTTGTACTTCGTTACTTCCCATCTCTGATAAAAAGGCAATAATGATCATACAAAAAACAACAACAGATACAAACAAACAAAAAAAAGAGATAAACACCCATACACTTAGATTTCTGGGCAATTTAGAAAGATAAATTGACCTAAAATGCACAGTTTTTCACTGTGAGCGAAAGCTGGAGAGAGCCAATAAGAACACTGAAAAACCATGCATACAGCTAATGTCATTATGCAAAAATTCATGAATTGAACATCCAAAGTCCACATAGAAATGCCTAAGGATTTGAACTTAGAATTTTCCTCCTTTATAGCAACAGTGCTTATAGCTTTCCAAAGTGTAGGCTGGCTTTATATTATTAAAAGTAGTTTTTTTGTATTTTCTCCTCAATCCTTATGTGAGAAAGGTTTGTCAAGTTTATAAAAATTACTCAACAAAAAAGACTTCAGTGTTTTTATAGAATGTCCTTTCACTTCTGTTGCCACCTGGATACCTCAGATTTATTATTTCTGTCAGTCTACAAATAGTCCCTCTCTCTAGTTCTTTTAACCGAGGCCAGCTGGAGCCTCTCTGAGTCACTTCTCTGCACTCAAAGACATAAATCTAGTTTCAAGCTTTAGTTAGTCGAGGCCTTCTGTGTCAGGCAAGTCGAAAGTCAAAGGACACCAGCCAGCTGTCACCATCTGATCCACTCTTGACTAACACTCAAGTCAGTTCTACAGTTATGAATTGCCTTACTTTGAGTGCCTTGTAGATAAATAATGGGCTCTGACAAATATCCTGCTGTGCATGTTCTACTCTACCCTTTTAGGTTTAGTTTTCTCATTATATACATGGTTTCCCACTCAGTCTTGGATAGTACTATCTATATTACTAGCTTTACATTTTGACTGCTAGCAATGAAAATAAATAACCCTGGTTTTCCCTTCATAAAGACACCTGTTATATACAAATGACACATGTGGGGTAGACATATGTTGACAAAAATGCTGGTACCCCTTGTTTAATGAAAGAAAAACCTACAATGATCAAAGAAATAACTTGAATTGGACAAAAAGTAAATTAAAATCTATGAAAATAAACAAATGAAAGTCATACCTTTCTGTTCAGCTATGTTTCAACTGAACAATTTAGAAAAAAATAACTCAGAGCTTTTGTCTTAGATTAAGCACTAGGAATAGTTGTAGCAGCAGAGAGTCTTGATTTAGGAGTTGTCCCTAGTAAGCAAGAGCAAACTCTTTGTGGCTTTAGAGTTTTTAGGGATACGATTCTGGCTATTTTCTTTGCTTATGCACCAAACAACAGTTAAGAGAAACCGATCTGTTTGGAGTTTCTTGGTTATGACCTGGGAATTTCACCATCTGGAGATTTAGTTGTGCTCCCGGTAGACTTCAATGTCCAGATGGGTGGTAGGGCAGTAGGCGTGAGGAGTGTAATCAAGAGTAGAAGCACCTCTGATATAAACACGAGGAATTTGTTGCTGGAGCAAAATCTTCATCAGAAATTAGCATTTTTGAGGACAAGATGGTTGTCACTGTAAGTGTGCATGTGGCCAAAGGTTCTTGATATGTTCTGTAGTTAAATCATACAATAAAACTGCTGCGTTCTGCTGCACTATGCACTCAGTCTGTTGTTTTATAAAGTGTTTTAGTTTGTTGGGGATCTGTAGTTTTGTGTTCCGTAATGGTGCGTTCACACCAGAGGCGTTGGCAGTGGCCAACAATGAGAGCTTTCACTGCTCTGCCCTCACCTCGTGCTCCCAGATCAAATTAGGTTGTTGTCAAACATCAGCACTGCATGAGAAGAGGGGAGCGATGATCGCTAAAGTTGAAAGGAGCTGACATTTTCTATGAAATGGCAACATGGCAGCCAATCATCGACTGGTTGTAGGTGAACTTTATATCAGGAAATGAACGCAGCACTAACGTCTGCTGGGATGGTGATGTCATCTGCCATAATTAAAGATGATTCTTTCTTTAACACCAAGTCAGCACAAACAATAGCTTTACCTGCACAAACGAAGCAGCCCTGAAAAAGTAGGCTGGATCATGTTATTCAATTTGGAGATTAATGGGTGGATAGTTGACCTAGATGCTGGAACAACAGTAGCACATATGATCTTTTTTTTACTAATTTATTGTTTTTTCTATTTTTCCATAAGACCTTTTTAAATGCACAAACCTGCACTGAATGAGCAATAACCATTCAGTGTATTTGCTGAGTTCTTTTTCACATTTAATGGGATGTCAGCTTGACACAGATGGAGCTCCTCCTATTTGACGATGCGGTGCAGGGTGTAAACATAGTGCATCTGAAATGCAGAGCGGTGAACTACCTGCAGGGCCCGCGGAAATCACCGGCTCCACTGCGTGTGGTCTGAAAGCTCCACAAGCCAGCATAATTTTTGTTTGTTTAATTTTCATCTTGACAACGGGCAGAACAAAATATATATAAAAAAAACAATGTTGTAAGATAAATGGTCAGATCATAAATATCCCATGCACTTTTTAAAATTTCTGTTTTGGTCCCCTGCACTTTTTACTGTCCAAAAAGCTGTTTTTATGAAAGCAGGTTATGACAGATATCCAAACTTTTAGTTGGCTACTTTTTTCAATGTAACCAGGCCTACTAACTTTGTGAAAGAAAAAACAGGTTTTTATTCTGGAAATGTATTTATGACATATGCTAAATCAAATACGGACATTGTTCTGCTACAGCCATTCATTATTGATGATAAAATTCTGGCAGGATATTTATGAGATGGACTGTGAGGGTCACTAAGTCATTCTGTCAGGCAATCAGAAGTGAAAAAAGGGGCTGGGGCAGAAGTGAAGTAAAACTTGAATTAGAAACAGCAAAATGAACCGATAGTCAGTACAAAAGTGTTTGTTTGAGAAAACTAGAAGAGCAAAATCGGTCTAGACTAAAGAAAAAATGTTGATATGATTCATGTGTATCTTTGACCCTCCCATTTCCTTCATTTTACCACCCTATTCTCTTGCTATCATGTTTCTTGTGGCAATCAATAATTTATAGCCGTAGCACCAAAGCAATGAACCCCCCAGCTCTCTGAATGACAGATGAGGGTGAGAATGAGTGCTGGGCAAAGTGAGAAGCATGACAGGCGTAAAAGCAAAAGGCTGTGGAAATAAAAAATAACAACAAATGGCAAAAGTGACAGAAGAGCCAAAGCAGCAAGGGAAATGACTGACAGAGAAAATGGCTTAACAAGGCACTAGATAAATAACCAAGAGTGGGAGAATATTTCCCTCAGATAATGAAATTATGCTGTAAAAAATGTCTACCAATTTTCATACTATAAGAGAACTAATTACAGAACTAAGGGAGAAAATGTCAGCTTCGTGACATCAAAGTGAAGATGTGCCTACTCATTTTTTCCCCTGTTTTGAACTTTTTAGTTTACCAAAGCTCCTTTTAGCTTCAGCTCACAGCACATTGCTGTTTCCAAGAAAAGGACAACAAAAACATGCTCAGATGAACAATAGGAAGGGAAAATGTGATTGGATACACTTAATTATGTTAAGTTACTTTTATTTTCGAGATGCACCCTGTTGGCACTTGTGCACGGTTGTAGCTTTCACACTTAGATAAATAAAGGTATGAAGCTGCCTCAAAAATATTTTTTGTAAATAGAAGAGTCACAAAAAGCTCCAAGATATACATAGAAAGGGGCTAAATAGTCTCAGTGAAACCCACATTTTGATGAACTGGGGGGAACTACTAGGCAGATAAAAAAGCTTATGTTTGTGCAAGTCCCTATAATTTATGTGCATTGTGTTATTGTCTATGTATGCCCATGGCTTTGAAAGAAGATCAAGCTTACCTCTTCAACCTCCCACCTGCTCTTGTAATTCTGTGGGGTTTGGTGACCTTGGCAACCTGGCACCAAAACACGTTTTTGTCCCTTTGATTGAGGCCAAGAGGGGGAGTGAAGTTTGGACAAAGTGAGACACAATGGATGAGAGAAAGCAGGAATGGGGAGGAGGATTAGGTTCCTTTCCCCCCATCGTGGCTATTATGTCTATTTAATTGTTTCTTCCTGTTGTTGTGAAAGTGTTTTTTTGTCCAAACATTATCTCCTTTCTCTTGAAAAAATAAAAAGTAGTAAATACTAAGAGGATATCACTAAGAGGAATATGAATATTCACCTTATTTGGTGTTAGCCATTTATACACAAAGTTATGGAAATGAACTGTCTCATGTTGATTACCCATATTTTTTTCTTTTACTTTGTTTTGTTCCATTCAATCATTAAATAACTTTCAGATATGATACAGGTTTTAGTGTTAATATGACAAAATCTGAAACACTTCCAGGGTTATGGGTATTTGCAGAATCAGTAAAAATGTGTACTTACCAAATATAAATTATTATTATGTAATAAGTTTTTCATACCCAAAATAAGCATGCTGTAGATGTTGATGTAGTTAGATTTTTAATTTAATCTCTTTTTGTTATTAGTACACTTTTTAAGTGGAACATATTATAAAATACTTACAGTAATGTTTATACAGTCATTTGTTTTTGTTTTGTTTTTTGTTGTTTTACAGAACACAAATACCACTGTACTGATAATCTAAAAATAGACAATTTTTGTGCTTCTGCTGGAGGGATGCAACATCCTCAGCTGGCTTCCTCAGAAAATGCATACTTTATAGGATGACATAAAAATTGTATATAGCAGTATATTTCTGTTACTGGAATAGGGAAATTTAAACATGGTGTCAGTGAGTTATGAGTTATATAACAGGAGAGAAAAAGTTAAGGGCTTATTTTAAATAGGAATAGGTTCTACTTCATGACCACATGTTATGACTTGTTGCAAAGACAGAAACCTATTCCTTCAGATTCGCTAAGGACATTTTGTTACATTGATTTCCCCTGATGTAAAAGAAGGAGCATGAGCCATTGAGAAAAAAATGAAAACATATATGACATTATTCTTTTTCCCTTTTTTTCGCAGTGAGGGATGAGGACGATTTTCTGAGCCTAAGTGAACTCCCTGAAACCTTCCCCTCTGACCCTCCAGAGCCCTTACCTCACTTCTTGTTCGAACCTGAGGAAGGCTACATCGTCAAGAATAAGCCCGTCAATCTGTACTGCAAAGCGACACCTGCCACACAGATTTATTTTAAATGCAACAGTGAGTGGGTTCATCAGAAAGACCACACAGTGGAGGAGAGAGTTGACGAAAATTCAGGTAAGCAAAGCCCCTTCACACTCTATCTATCTATCTATCTATCTATCTATCTATCTATCTATCTATCTATCTATCTATCTATCTATCTATCTATCTATCTATCTATCTATCTATCTATCTATCTATCTATCTATCTATCTATCTATCTATCTATCTATCTATCTATCTATCTATCTATCTATCTATCTATCTAACTGACTCAGAAATAGATGCAATATACTTTCTTTTGGGTGATTTTCACGTTTAACTCGCTATTTATGGCTAACCGTCTCTGGTGCATTATGACCACATTGGTTTAGGTATCTGTGCTGAAAGAGAGGTCACATACAAGATGTCTACACGCAGCTGTATAAAGGCCAGTGCTGTACCTCATTGTTTAGGGAGACACTTTAATATGATCCAAAATGATGTACTGGACTGTAGCCAGTCCTACACTTGACAGGAAGCATCATTACTCTGCTGGCTAAGTAATGATGAATCACACTGTCACTTTGGCAGCAGTACAAAGATGTAGACACTCGGCTTTCTTAGATTTAAGGTTGACATGTGTTCAGGTCTTGTTTTTTCACCAGCTTGATAATGAGCCCAGGTTCCCCTAGCAAAGGATTAAAAGCAGTCTGACAACCATTTATTTTATGTAACTGTTCAAAGAAATAAGGTAGGAGTCAACAGTTGCACAACACAGTAGGTTTGACATTAAATCTTTTTTTTTCTTTTTCATAAAAGTGAACAAAGGAAGAAAAGGCATATTGGAAATATGTTAGGGAGATGAAAGTTTGTAATTATAAAGCAAACCTGGGAATCATACACCGGACTATTTTTATTTAAGTCACCGCAGTTGTCCTAATTTACAGTATAAAATGATACAGCTAACAGATAAAGTTTAAGGTTTTACACATTTAATTATCAAGGGGGAGAGAGATATGTGCATTAAAAGAAAAATGAAATGATTTTGATAAGAAGAAATCATACATGGTACCAGTCATGCGATAATGGTACTACTCCATTTCATTCATCCATGTTGTGCCTTGGTGTTTATCACTGATATTGTGTGGAGCAACTTTTCATTATTAATTTTCTTTCAACCGTGCATTGCCAGCTGCTGGATGCCTTGCAGTCTCTCACCAAAGGGAATACAGTTAATTTAACAATCCATGGACCTGAGGTGTTAGACTGTTATGGTGACTAAAAGAAAAACATACAGAATGTTCCCTGAATTTAAACCATACATGTAACCAATTTAGTGTTTATTGAGGGAAATTCTTTGGAAAAAAGTACTTTTTTTTTTTTTTAAAGGTTATTATTTGTGGTTTGCTTTAATTTTGATCTGCTAATTTTGGGGTCCAATCCTTATTCCAATTTCTCAATTCAACAGTTCCAACTGCAACAACCCTTCACAACATGCCCCCACAACAAAAATAATATGTGTTGCCATTCCAACACAAATACACTTGTTTGCTGAACAGGACATTTTACACTAGATCTTGTATCAGATAGCAGCAAGAATTGTGCATTGTGAAGGACTGTTGGCACCCGAACTAGCATAGCTGACTGCACAGGCACATCACATAGAAAACAGGCTGTAGCGAGAAAACCAGCCAAAAGCAGATACATTTTGTTCATGCTATTTGAGCCTCTGCTGATGGATCTGAATGTTAGGTTTGCATATATATGTGGCAATACTTTTTGCACAGACTGTGCACTGTGTTAGCTTATTTACTGCACTACACTATAGTTTTACTGCACTTTTTTCAATTCCCTTTCTCGTTCTATACACTGCATAATTTTCCCCAACTACAAAATAATTTAAAAAATTATAAAGCTAGACATGAGCAGGAGCCATCTCCTGTTAGGACAGAGGCTGGTATGGGTTTTATCAAACAAAAAAGCATGAAGTACCGTCATGTATTTTGATAAATCTGCTAAATTGTTAAAAGTTAGAAAAAGACAGAATAACTTAAAAAGTAATGAAAAGATTTTAATGATATTTTTTACTAAAGGTGTACCTCAGTCTAAGGAACAATCAATCCATTTTGATGATGATTCTCATCATTATTCAGATTTCCTAAAAGAAAATGTTATCCTTTAAACAAAAAGTTACCCCCTAAACCAGAGGGTGGCAGCAGTGAATACTGACAGCTTCAGAACTGGACTAAAAAAAAGTCCAGTTCTTAGACTGACGAAAAAACCACAGGAATGGTGAGCCATGCCTGTCTCAAAGTCTTGATATACTGATCAAGCAAGAAAGCAGAGTGGAGAGTAAGTGAAGAAGTTGAGAACAGAACAAACACCAGAGGCTGCTGACACACGCTGTGCTTTATTTATAATGGGATTTAAAGAAATTGTTACCAAAGGTGCACCTAAAAATCACATCCAAAAGCATATGATTACAATGATGGCACTTCCGCTGTGGATTTCCACACTTGTTCAAAGTAATTAGGTCACCTCTGAACTTCAGACATAGAGATTATAGAGTGATTATGTATTATACAACACAGTTTTATTAAATCATATTGAATTCACAATGTGAGTGCTTTCGATCAGTGTGCCTGTGGAGAAAGCTAAATTCTATAAACTGTTTTCCTTCTTTTGTTTCCTGCTACTTTAAAACCACAACTTAACTTTACACTGTCTTCTCCCCATCTCTCCCTTTCCTCTATTCTTCACGCTGGCTTTTACTCATTAATATTGGAAAGAGTTTGGCATGAAAAGAAATAAGTGCATTTAGGGGGTATGAAAGAATAGAACTCTTTGTTATGGTTAGAGAAACTTTTGAATATTAGTGATCTTTACTTACTCTGTCAGACTGCTTTTAAAAAGATTGTATCCATGGATATAATATCCATTATATCTGTCTTTTTGTATGTCTTTTTCCAATTTAGTCACATTTAATTAGCTCAAGAGAAGTAAACTCTTCATCATAAGTTGGAGATAAAATGTGGACTTACCAAAGATGCTGACTTAAGTCTAAAAATTTGACCTGGGTCTTTGGAATTTATTTAAGACATTCCTGTCTTTTCTTTTAAATTGAATAGAGATCGGTGGAAATATTTGAATATTTGGTTTTCCCCTTTCCTCCTTACCGCCCTTTTTCATTAAGGATTTGTGACCAATACCCTGAGGGGATAAGGGGTGTACTATTGACTTAACTTCAACCTTTTAGTTTTGGACGTTTAATGTCATTCACTAGATTTCAAAATAAGTGGAATATGTAACAGCAACAATTTCTGAAAGAAGCTCATTGTGCTACTTCACAAAGATGTTCACCCATTTTCACAAAATTATCTGCTACTTAAATAGCTTCTCATCCAATCCAAAACCACCCTTTTACACTATAATAATTTCCTGAATAATAATATACACTGTGATCAATTGTGTTAGACGTTCTTTTTATCTGTAGAGCTGCTGACTTCCTCTATTAATTCTAAGACTGCCAAAGCTGAGGATCTCTGTAATCTAAATCCATGCAGATTTTCAGAAAGTAGTTTGTTTATGAATTAAGTCTACTAGAAAATCTTGGTACACAGAGGAAATAACAAATTAGGCCCATAATTTTTGAATTGGTGTCTATCTCTAACTTACATTTGTACAACTTTTACAGTTCTCTCTTTTTTTTTTTGTGGAAATGTACCCTTTTGGTGGTCAATTGTTTAATTACAAACTATCAAAACATCTTTTGGCCAGTGTTATATCAAGTCATCATAGTCTTTGCACCTTTTATTTTTACATTTCTTAACAACAGCTTTGATCTCTCCCTGTCCCAGTGCTGCGGGAAACATCAGGTTTTGATTATTGTGTTATGAGTACCTTCAGTAGAGTAACCACAACTATCATTAATATCACTGCAAAAATAATTAGTCAGTCCATGTAGGTCCAAGTCCTGCCCTCTGTACTCTGTGTAACGTGTGCAACTACCGGTAAATCAGTGTGTGCTGATTTTGTCATCCCATTTGTTAGTTAGTGTCACCAGTGTTATCTTCAATCCCGACATGGTGCTCATGAGAATTTTTCTAGATCCTTGCTATCCTTGATGACCATAACCTTTGCCTCCTCTGGTGATCTTTTCAGCTCAATTAAAAATCTTACATTTCTCAAGCCACATTGCCTGGATTTTCCCTTGCCTTTCTAGGAACCTAGCCTTCCTGACAATTTGGTCTTCCTCTTAGTCAGATCCTCATTTATGTAAACATTTGTCCCTCTCAGCATTCTTTCTTGTTTATGCAGAGGATAGCATAACAATGGCATGTTGATCCTTAGGATTTCTCCTCGGCAGGTGGCAAGTCTTGAAGTATTCATAGTTTAGGTTAATCCCCTATATTAAAGAAACTTGTTCACATGTTTCATAGACTCATAATCCAGCTCTCCTGGTTCTCCATTGTCACGTGTGCATATGAGCGGGGCTTAATATGTAGCTTGGTGACAATCATATCATTCATTATTCTGTATTTTAGCAGGTCAGAATTTCTGTTCTCCAGGTAGATGGTCCTCTTGTTCTTCTGTACAAGCAGAGAGGTTTTACCTTGTCAACCAGCTTCAGAATGCCTTTCCGCTGTTTCCTAATACCAGGAACGTGTTATTGGGTGGAAGTTCAGCTGTTTTTTTATGTTGTCTAACTCCTCAGCCGATGATCTCTTCTTTGGCCCCATGTTTTAAGGGCTTGCCTTTAATTTATTCTCCAGAATTTCTTGCCTTAAAGATTTTTTTTTGTTTGTGTAACAAGAGTTCAAGCAATCTATTTAACACTGCAAAAAATTCAAACCACCCAAAAAACCTAAACAGTTATACATTTATGAAGTAGTAACTGTGATACAAGAGGCAGTATATAGAGTATCCACGGTAACAGGGTTGAAGGCACATCAGTGCTAGTTTTAGATCAGTTTGGCACATGTGCGTTTCTAGAATGGGGCCAACAGGGGCCAGTACCCCTGCAGAACTGGTGCTGGACCCTATTATGGCCCCAGTACTGAAAATGCACACACAAAAAAATGTAAATATAAGTA